GTTTTTAGTTTATTTGTGGCACTTCTTTAAATAACCAGAGGTGTTTTGAGGTCTCTCAATATTAGAGTTAAGAATCAATGCCTTATCAGGTTCACCAGTGATTTATATGTTGCTAATTCAGTGGTAAATTCTTAGTTCTTATTTTATTTGACTGATCAGTAGCATTTGGCACAATTGATCAGTCAGTCTTTCTTGAAACACTTTTTTTACTTGGCTTCCAGGACCACACTTGTCTGGTTTTCCTTTTCAATCTTTAATGTTTTTTCCTTATTTTCACAACCTCTGAACACTAGAGTACCCAAAGTTCAGTCCTGGGACTTTTCTCTTCTTTCCATATGCATTCACTTCCTTGCTCTAAATACCATCTCTATGCTGATGACTCCCAAATTGTATCTCCAGTCTGTACCTCTCTAATTCCAGACTCATCTTTCCAATTGCCATTTGACATTTGCACTTTTTGCAGAGTAGTTTTCTCTAAAACTACTGTCTAAAAGTGAGCTTCTGATAATCACACCCCCCTAAGCCCTCCAGTTGCCATAAACACCAACTACTTTTTCCCAGTTGCTGAGGCCTAACACTTTTGCAACTCCTCTTTTCCTTATACTCTATCTAATTTATCAGCAAATCCTGTTAGCTTCGCCCTCAAATTATATCCATCTGGTCTAAATCACCATCATCCCCTCCTGAGATTATTGCAGTTGTCTCCTAACCGGTTGTCTTGTTTTCATGCCCCCTTCAGAATCCTTCCCATCTCACTTAGAGTAGACCCCAAAGACCTTATGAAGACCTACAAATTCCTTATCTGGTCTAGCCACCATTACTTCTCTAATTTCATCATCTGCTATTCTCCTCTTTCGCACTCTCTCTGTTCTAGCTACGCTGGCCTTACTATTCCTAAAACCCACCAGACAAGCTCCCAACTTAGGCCTTTGCCCTTAGTTTCCTCTGCTTAGAATGTTCTTTCCCCAGATATCTATTAATACATGGCTTACTCCCTCATTTCCTTTGGATCTTGACTCAAATGACTCCCATGGAATGAGTAATTACTGGTCACTCCATCTACTACTACAAATCACCGCTCCTGAAAACTTACTTTCCACTGTTCCTACCTTATTTTTCTCCATTGCACTTACCACTATGTAACATATTGTGCATTTTAGTGATTCATCTTGCTTGTTATCCATCTTCACTACTGTAGTGTAAGCTTCATGGTAACAAGATGTTTTTTAGATTCTGTTCCTTGCTGTAGCCCCAGCATCTAGAGCAGTACTGTACTTTTTTTTTTTGAAATAACGAATGATAGCACATCCAGATCAACACAAAGAAGAACAATAAAACAGTGTTACTACTGTGTGAATTTAATGGAGGATTTTAGTTTAAAAAATATAAAATTGGATTTAGTTGGAGAAGTTAATTTCTTTTTCTTTTTTTTTTTTTAGGCTGGTCAAGGAGAAGTTAATTTCTTGTATGGTTTTGTACTTGTTTGGTATCAACCAATTATTAGTAATCCTGAATAAAAATCTTTTTAATATTTCATAAAG